TCTCAAATGGCAGGCGTTTTGATAGTTATCATTAGCCATTTAGCTGACTTCGGTCTTCACAGAGGGAAGGAGGAACATCAAAGTGAACAAAAGTTTCGTGAGGGGGAAAGAAGAGTGATCCACAGATGTAAAAGAGACAGAAAAACAGACACAAAGGCAGAGAAAAGGTAAGATGAGTACTCTATGGGGTCGAATATGACATACAGTGGGTGATGGTAGTTTGAAATGAGAAGTCTACTGACGGTTTCTACACTTTCTTGCCGTATGAGTACACGTTGCCCGGGGTGCACCACGTGGAGGTAGGTCTATCGCACGCTCCATGCTTCTATCATGAATACAGCAATTCTTTGCTGAATTGACTGAAGTGTCTAGGAAGTGGCTCTCCAAATGATGACTATTATATAGCGCGAACAACAATGAAATTTTCTTTAAAGAAAGAAAAGTTGGCAAATTTTTCCCTCGTAACATCTTTTCCTTGTCTCAAGGCGATTCGAAAATTTAATTGAATTAGTTTACATATCATCCTTCAGGTTAGCTCCCTATTTACGAACAAAACTAGCATTGGAAGTGCAGAGAAATTTTATAGACATGAGGAGGCCGTTAAACTAGATTTGAGCCCGCTTATCAAATGCTCAAATTGATTTTAAATTGATCAGGAGAGAATGCCGATGATAGCAAACTGTCTTGAAAGTTAGAGGGAAATATTTATTTAGCTCTCTGACTAACGATCTCTTTTAAAACTTAGCCTGCTTGCAGACTGTTTTTAAAATTAGAATGACCACGCAAAATGCATTTTACTTTTGCATGGTGATTATTCCCAATTCTGTTTCTGTCGCTTTATCAGGCATAATCTGTCAATATGTAAAAGCAGAAAAAAGACGTTCATCGTCACTCATCCTGTAAACAAAGTCTTTTGAATATGACCCAAGGATTAAAACTGTCTGGTTAGGATAATTTACGAGGTTGGGTTTACCGATGTCCCTTAAATAGCTAATATGTTTTTCAAGTGGATAAAGGAAAACGCTGGCTTTTATCATATGAGTCTTGAGATATACCAATTGGATATCAAATAATAGGAAGAAGATTAATTGATGAATGGAATCCTGGTTATGGTAAGTGGTCCGTGATGAAAGAACAATGAGGGAACTGGTTTGCTCTGTGATGATCGTTCATTGTTTATTGCTGCGTAAAATGAAACGTTTGCTTAAACCCGTGAATAGCATTCAATTGAGAGTATTGTATCCATGTGGGTGACTTCTAGGGACCATAGCAGTGAGCAATCAATAAAGAACATCATCTAGCAATTGGAATAGGGTAAAGCTAGGAACCAGCATGAAAGGTTACTACAATTTAATGGATGGTTAATAAAAGCAGAAAGTATAAATTGTCAAATTCAGGATATGTGTATAATCCTCTAATCATTGCAGCGCCAGATGAGTTTGCTTGGGTCAATGATGTATGCACTTCAAAGAGTTGGCAGTTACCGACGCTCTTCCAACTCCCCCTCGAATCCGCCTTTATCACCGGGACACAGTGGTAACAATTCTCTGACTCCAAATCAAGCTTCAATACCCGAAGCCTCTAAAGTTGATCCGGAGAAAAACCAAAAGACTCCTCCAAACCTGCAGGTACCCAATATAGACCATCTACAGAAAGAGTTGCCTCTAAACCATTCCGTCGAAAGCCAAAAGGTAGTATCTATGATTCAAGATGTTGTCTAGGTTGAAGTCTCACTGATAATTATTAAATTGCTTTCATTTAGATTCAGAAGAAGGGTCATTGGGACCAAACAGCAGTTAAGGAGACTGATCTAACAGAAGGAAGTAGTGAATTGTCGGAAGAAATTCCCTTGAAGCAGTTCTACGCAAAGAGAAGGGATTCCGAAAAGCAGGAAAATGCTCATAACAACTGGAATTTCAGAAATCACAATAGCGGTTTTCCCAATCTTCCTGTGTACGACTATTGTCATATTTTGTAAACAATACCATCAGAAATTCGGGTTCTTTATTGGCTCTTAATGTGTACATTTTTAGCTTACCCGCTTCAATAAACCTTCGAAACACCGATTTCTCATCAAGGGTATGTTTCCATGATTTAATCTCTTGTCGGAATATGCTTTAATTCGAAAAAATACCCCTTTGCTCTTTCGGTTTTTTGCCTACTCATTCCAATCAAATTGAATGGAATTTGTGAGCGATTAAAAGTGCCGCACACTTTAGGAAATTGCTTAAATCTAATTACCAGCCACAGCTGATTGCCAAATTGCCAATGGGTACAGCTTCTAATGCTGACAGTGATGGCCTAAAAATAGATGGAAGAAAATCAGTTGATCCTATTATAAACATTTTGCTCAATAGTTTACTTTATTCAACATTTATTTATTTCAAACGGCAGGCGTTTTGATAGTTATCATTAGCCCTTTAGCTGACTTCAGGCTTCACAGAGGGGAAGAAACATCAAAGTGACAAAAAGTCGAGAGGGGGAGGGACAGAATAATGATTCACAGATGTAAAAAAGAGAGAGACAGACACAAATTTTGAGTAAAAGGTAAGACGAGATCTGAAGAAATGGTGGAATATGACATACAGTGGGGTGATGGTAGTTAGTTGTCAGAAGTCAACTGCCAGTTAATAGACTTTTTGACGTATTAGCATACGTTGCCCAGGGTGCACCACGTGGAGGTAAGTCTAATATACATTGCCCAGGGTGCACCACGGAGGTAAGTCTATTGCACACCCCATGATACCTATCATAACGCCTGCCATTTGAAAGCTTTATTCAACATAACTATCATTTCGTTCTTCTTTCTAGCCACTTGAACGTCCTCTAACGCAAGTTGTCCATAACCGACCACGAAGATCATTCCCAGTCATTCCTCATTTGCCCAAGAAAAGTTTGGCTAACATTGATGATACCGCATTTCTTGAAAGGTTAGTTTACCTTGATTCGAAATGCTGATATTCTGTCGATTTCCCTCCCGTGAAACGACTGTTGTTACTTTGTGTCATCTTACTAAATTTTCTTTCGAATAAACAATGAGAGAAATTTATGAAATAAATAAATGGAATAAAATTAATGTTATTTATTGAATTAAAGGTTTAGAAGTCTCTGGGGCTCATGGTTATCACGTTACCCCACTTTGGCAATACTTCCCGACCTCTCTGTTTTAGTTTAAAATTATGTGCTGACACATACTACTTATATTAAAGACCTCAATGAGTAAAGAGTTTATTTGATAAACTTTAAATAACTGCAGTGGCTATAAGAGTCAGGTTATTTATCCCTTTGGGTGAACAATGACAAGACAGAGGAAGAAGTACCCTAATTTTTTTTTCACTCTATTTCATTAATAATGCATTACTTTCCCTAAAAGCTATGTCTGATTAGCTGGTGATGATGTCAGACAATAACGTATTCTGTGTAATCATTACAGCTAGCCAATCGGTTTTGTTCAGAGATTGTTGCTAACAGCAATACACCTTTATGCATATTTATATTCCCTGAATCAGACGTAATCCTCTGAAATCTAAGAAATTAGCTCAAAATCCTTGTTTTCTAAGGTGAAATTTGTAGAGGCCGGTGGACTCGGTACGAACGGCAAGATTGAAAAGTATTTTAATTGCATCATGTGAAACATTTAAAGCTAAACTTAGTAAATTTGAGCAAATCCGATAACTAATGTTAGTGTTTTAATTTATAAAAGCCTAGTGAGATATTGAGAGGAAAAGATTATCAAACTCCAATCAGCTTTCAGTGCAATTCTTAACGGAACTTTAGCTCTAAATAAAAGTATTTTTTCAGTACGTCGTATTTCGTTATTGCGAATTCTCGTTAATTTGGGGTGAAGTTAATTTTAATCTTATTTTCTACAGGAGGGCAAGTGCCAGTAATCCATCCCAAAGGTATGCCTACGTCAAAAAGCAAGATCGAATGAAGAAATACACCGATCGATTCAGCGAAGAAGATGAGGAAGACGGAAATGCTCCCCTACTTCACGCCTCAGAAATGGAACGTCGTTTTCCTCGAAGGCCTAAAGTCTCTAACACTTCAGCAGTGGTTCTGCCACCATTCCATGAAGATCTGGAATTCAGAGTGGCAGGTATGCCCGGTGAATTTGTTGACCAAGCTGATTATTTCGATGGTGAAGTGGATGAACCAGAATTGGATGCTTCTTACTTCTCGCGTGGTGATACTCCAAGTCCTGCACCTTCTGTCAGTGTACCTTCCTCGGTTTACGCTTTTGGAAAGTGGCCAGATGGTACGGAACGAGATGCTGGTTGTGCGCGATCAGGTCGAAAACCGGTAAGCCCGCATCTATAACTATGCCGAAACTCAAAATGTACAAATTCAGACTATCAAGATGGTGATCCACATGAGTATATTAATATAATTAGAATGATTAACACCATTATACTGCAGTAGGAACCATGAGTCATCAATTGTTTGGTCTTTTTCTAAGACTGACAAGAGAAAAACTCAGTTACCATAGTAGAATGCCAAAGATTTGGTGTAGCCGACGGCGAATCGTGAATCAGTGAATCAAAATAGTGAAAGGGAGAAGAACATAGATCAGGAGAACAAAGAGAGTGGGTGTATTCAAACCTGCTTGCTTATACTAAAAATAAGCAGATTCTGCGGAGGTTGATAACCAATAATGCTTTACATACCATTGCACATCGGCATGTAAATTGGAATAATTTATTTATATTTATGACGGTTATCATTAGCCCTTTAGTTGACTTCAGGCTTCACGGAGGGAGAGGAACATCAAATCGAAAAAAGTCGAGAGGCGGGTGGGGGGGAACAGAAGCGTGTTTTAAAGATGTAAAAGAGACAGACACAAAGGTAGATGAAAGGTGAGGTGAGTATTGTGGAATTAGTCGAATATGACATGCAGTGGGGTCATGATAGTTTGAACTCAGAAGTCAACTGCCAGTTAATAGACTTACTTGCCGTATGAGTATACGTTGCCCAGGGTTCACCACGTGGAGGTAAGTCTATCGCACACCCCAAGAATGGGACTAATAAAGTCATATGAAAATGACTTGATGTAACACATAATTAACAAATAATTCGGGAAGGGATAATTTTAGCGCTCCTTTTAGTAATAAAACAATGATTGCAGGTCACCAAAAATTCACTTCTATAATACTTTCTCAGAATGAA